AAAGCCAGTTTAACCGCCGTTAATATGATTGTGGAATCCACCCCAAATCCGAACTTGGTAGCAGCAGTTTCTGTTGACACAGGGGTAAATGAACCAACTGTGCCTATGGATACAGCTAGTTCGGGTGGTACGTCTGTTTCCAGAATAAAAGCTACAGTACTGGCTAAGTCAAAGAATTCGTTGCCGACCGTACCTACAGGTACAGTAGACACCGTTTCTGGTTCTCAGCCCAGTGTGGTTCAGACTGCTGGTGGGGGCCGTAAGAAACTTTCAGTTGTTCCACAAAGGAAGCAATTATTTGTTTCTAGATTCACCCCAGATACCACATCTGAGGATGTTTTGGAATTTATACGTGAAAAATTCCCATCCGAGGATATTGCAGTTGAACAATTTCGATTTTCTTACGCTCGTAGGATATCGTCTTTTAAAATATTTGCTCCGCCTGATGTGTTTAATGTGTTACTTTCTGAAAGTTTTTGGCTTAATGATGATTTAGTAATTAAAGAATTTGTTCCAAATAAACCGAGAACAAATAACAGGCCTTCCACTGTGCCAAAAAACTAAATAGTTTATTCTTGGCGTATCAAAATGTTAGGGGACTAAATATGAAGCTACACAAGCTTTATGCCGACTCCTCTGCATTCATCGAAGATATTTTGGATTTTACGGAAACTTGGCTAAAACCAGAGATATCTGACTCTGAAGTTCTGTCAAATAACTTTAATACTTATAGGACCGATCGCTCCTCACGTAAGGGGGGCTGTGTACTGATTGCTGTTACCTCTAGCCTAACATCCGAAAGAATTCTCACTCATATCCCAAACGAAATTGAATTTGTAAGTGTGAAAGTTTCTTTGCAATCTTTATCTATTTTTGTTACATGTTCCTATATTCCACCTGGCTCTGATCTAGTAATTTATGAGCACCATCTGTCCGCAATAAAATCCGTACTATCCCTGCTTTCTAACAGAGACCTTTTGATTGTTTTGGGTGACTTTAATCTACCTGATATTTCTTGGTCTCCTCCCACTGACTCACTTGTCGCTATACCTTTATCCGCCCATGATTTTGTAGATGGCCTTTTAGAATTATCGTTACAGCAAGTAAGCTTTATACGAAATTCGTTAAATAGACAATTAGATCTTGTGTTTGTTTCAGACCCGTCCGAGGTCACGGTATGTAGAATTGACGCTCTTGTTGTACCTGAAGACCGATATCATCCAACAATGGAATTGACAATTTGCCTCCCCTGCTCTGATACCCTCTCTCCTTTAGTGCCCCCAACTAAAATGAGATGTTTTTGTAAATGTGACTATAATAAACTTAACGATATGATTTCTCATTATAATTGGACAGACTTGTACAATTGTACAGACATTGAAAGTGCCACTGAACTATTCTATATAGCGTTAAATACTTTTTTTAATGAATGCGTTCCTGATAGGTTTCCTTTAAACCTAAACAGGCCTCCTTGGTTTACCAATGCGCTTCAAAGACTTAAAAACCTTAAATCAAATACTTATAAAAAGTATAAAAAATCGGGTAAGCCATCAGACTTTTCGAAATATGTAGTGGCTCGATCGGTATTTAATGTTCTCAACAGTCATTGCTATTCTATGTATCTAAATCGATGTAAATTTGAATTTTCAAATGATCCGAAACAGTTTTTCAGCTTTGTTAATGCCAAGCGTAAGTCATCGTCATTGCCTTCATCGGTACGTCTAAACTCAATGGAGGCATCGACGGATTCTGACATTGCTGATTTATTTGCTGAGTTTTTCCAAACCACTTATAGTTCGACAGCTTGGTCAAATTCTAACTACCCTAATCCCTTAAATAGGGCAAATTGTATTTTTTCCCCTTTAATTACTGAAAACTCTCCCTTAATAGATTTAGAAACAACAACGCCGACTTATTCTCCCGGTCCAGATGGACTTCCTGGATGTGTGCTCAAGTTTTGTGCGTCAACCATTTGTAAACCGATTCTTAAACATTTTAATTTGTCTATTTCATCATCAGTTTTTCCTACTATCTGGAAGGACTCTTTTATTATTCCACTTCATAAAAAGGGTGCGAAGGCTGATGCCAAGAATTATAGAGGTATTTCCAAATTGTCGGCAATTCCTAAAGCATTTGAACGTATTATCACTTCTCATTTGCAACATTTATGTTCCTCGCTTATATCACCGTGTCAGCATGGTTTTGTTAAGCGAAGATCGACCACCACCAACCTTCTCGAATTGTCATCTATTGTAATAAATGGATTTCAGAAAAAAATGCAGACTGACGTTATATATACAGATTTTAGTAAGGCCTTAGACTCCGTCAACCACTCTCTTCTCTTATTCAAATTAGATCTGCTTGGGTTTCCTGGTAATCTATTAACTTGGATTTCAAGTTACTTGAATGGTAGGACTCAGAGGGTTATATTCAAGAATTCTGTTCAAAATTGATCTACGTGACATCTGGAGTCCCTCAGGGAAGTCATCTGGGCCTTTTGCTGTTTACTTTGTTTATCAACGATCTTCTATGATAGAAACACATTCTCGTGTTCTAATATATGCTGATGATGTTAAGCTTTGTTTATCATATAATGATATAGTGTCGGGATTTAACTTACAGTCAGATATTGATTGTTTTCATGAATGGTGTGAGAACAACCTTTTAAAGTTGAACTACCTTAAATGCAACGTCATGACTTTTTATAGGGGTACTCCTACGTTTATTAGTTATTTTCTTGAAAATACGTCACTCGACCGTATATATTCAGTTAACGATTTAGGTGTTCTTCTTGACCCTAAACTTAAATTTGACTGCCACATAATGGCCACTGTTAATAAAGCCATGAGTGTTCTTGGCTTTATAAAGCGTTGGTCAAAAGAATTTGATGACCCTTATACGACCAAATTATTATTTACCTCCCTTGTCCGTCCTATTTTGGAATATTGTTCTTCGGTTTGGAGTCCACAATATCAAGTGCACATTGACCGTATTGAGTCGGTACAAAAAAAATTCTTCTTTTTGCCCTTCGTAGTTTGAACTGGGATCAAAACGTAAGGCTACCTTCCTACCAGAGTAGATTACTGTTGCTTAATTTACCTACACTTGTAAATCGTAGAAAAATGCTTGGTACTATTTTTATGCATAATCTTATAAGAGGTGATATTGATTCTGCAGTACTTGTAAACCGCCTAACTTTCAATGTTCCTGTTAGACTAACACGAAATTATATCCCTCTAAATTTGCCACGATGTTCATCAAATTTTTGTCTGCACGAGCCCTTTCGCGTTCTATGTAATACTTATAACAACCTTTATCATCTAATCTGCATTTTCACTTCTATCCCGTTACTAAAAACTAATATTTTAACTCATTTGCTTTTCTCTTAATTGTGCCTTTTATTTTCACTTGTGTCTTGTCTCTATTTAATTTATGTATTTTCCTCGCGAACTCCCATTTTTTGCCCAAATTGATAATAGGGCCCGCGCGTAACAAGCACGTGCTTGGTGTCGTTGGGCCACTTGTTTGTACTGCTCGTAGTGCATCAACGTCCATCAACGAACATATTTGAGCCGGAAAAAGGGTTTATTTTCATTTTCAACGGAAGGAACACCACCCTTAAAGCAACCTGCAACGACGAAATACTTTTAAATGGCTCTTTCTTAATACGTTATAGGAATTGTACCATATGGATAAACGGAATAGAATACAGCGACAGAGAGCTTGTAGAACATGATCACTTCACTTTCGTACTTCCACCAGTCGTCAGAATAACCAAAAATCAAACGATCAAAACATTATTATTGGAAAAATTACACTTAGAAGCCCTTTCGACAGCTGGAAAAATCATCAATATGGATAACATAACACACTACAAATTTACGGCCATATACTCAGCAATATCATTGACCCTTATCTTGATCGTCGTCCTCCGATTGTGCCATAAACCACAGACCATCTTCCTCCCACACCTACCGACCGTCACTACCTTGGTGGAGCCGACCATTCCTTCGTTATGGCCCTCACTCCACTCTAGGGGGAGGAGTTACCGCACACATTGTTGCGGACACTCCGCCGCCCCCCAAACCTCAGCGACTCAGCCAAATGGTCATTAACCCAAACACTGGATGTATAAACGCTGAGTTTGGGAACCAACGGAAGTAAGCAGAACCAACACTTAACAGCTATGCAAAACCACAAACGAGCCAACAGTTCAGTTACGGCAAACTTGCCAACTATGCAGATTCTCATTCCCCACTCGAATCTGCTGATATGCGAGTTCCCCATCATACCATTTCATTCCCATATATTCCACTGTATTCCACAAGTTACACTTTATGCCCTCTTCCCATAGAGTCCATCCGTCTGAAACGGTTGGGATTTTTGACAAATGTGAAACTCCGATTCCCACAGAGCACATCCACCATCCACCATCCGATAACAGCTGATCTGAACAGCTGTGGCTCATCATTTTAGCCCGTTGCATTTTGCACAACATTTAAAATGAGCACAACAGCGTTATAAATGATACTTGGTAACAGACTGCAAGTGATCTACGCGAACATTCAAAACGAACTAATACGTCTGCAGATTTTTACCAGCCTGCAGACAAAATATGAACAGCTATTGCCCAATATTGTCTAAATGGTAACAAATCAAGTTCATTATATAAAAATGTTTGTTTTTTGTTTTATTATAATTTCATATTTTATTTCATTTTAAATGTTCTGCTTAATGTTGTGAGTAAGGTATGCGCCTAGGAAAGAGTGGAGCAACACCTAATGCTGCCACACGGATGGAGCAGTAATTAATTAATTATTACAAGTATAAACTGCATTTTTTGAATTGGCGCCTTCCTGTTCAAAAGTTACCCGCCATTATTTTTTTTAAATTTTCGTATTTAATGTTCCAATTTCCACTGTCAAGAAGAAGAACTCAGAGTTGCACCAAAAAAACATCGCCTAACTATCGCATAAAAAAGTCCGTCAAATTTGGATGGGGAACTAACAGGGAATTTTCGGAACGGCAAAACCTTATGGACCATCCGTTCAACGGATGGTGGATGGAGCTCTGTGGGAAGAGGGCATTAGATTGTAGAACAATAAAGATTCATTATAATTTTGACCGAAGTCGAAGAAGGTTCTCATTTATTAAACTCAATCATATCAAAATACATTGAAAACACCCATTGGACTCAACTCTCAGTATACTGGAAGCACCCATTGGACTCGATCCCCAGTATACCTAGATACTGTAATTCGCGCGCATATTTGAAACTATGATAACTTAGATTTAGGCTTGAATATATATTTGGAAACTTAACATCTAATGAAACCTTCAGTGGCTTTGACTTAATAATGCCTTTAATGGCTGAGATACTGGGTAAGTGTTTGAGATGAGAGGCGCCTTTAAGCGTCCTCACAGGACTCCTAGTTTTGTTTTGACTGCGCGTGGAATCAGACGTGCCCGCGGATTTTAGAAAAATGAAGAAAGAGCAATACCGGTTCTGATTCGATTCTTGTTTTTGGAAGGGAAATTGCGCAGCGAAATCAAAGAGCGCTTGGATGCTGTGTACGGTTGACTCCTCTCCTTCGATGGCGACCGTCAAAAATTGGTTTAACGAGTTTCAACGTGGTCGCATGTCGGTTTTTGATGAGCCACGCCCAGGTGCCCCGAAAACGGAAGAAGTTTGAGCAACCCTGGGTCAAGTGTATCGAGCTAAGGAGATTATGTTGAGAAATAAATCGCCACTTTTCCAATATATTCGTTTTTCTTTTGGAGGCTAGATACTTATCGGACCATCCTCGAATATCTGAAGAAAATCTTTAAAATCAAAAAAATTCTGAAAATACTCCCACTTTTTAAGCTTACTGACCTTTTCGAGACTCCTCAAAAATCAACTTCCTGTAAGGGAAGCCGAGAAATATGTATACCCGTTACTCGTAGAGTAAAAGGGTATATTGTATTCGTGCAAAAGTATGTAACAGGTAGAAGGAAGCGTTTCCGACCCTATAAAGTATATATATTCTTGATCAGGGTCACTAGCCGAGTCGATATAGCCATGTCCGTCTGTCTGTCCGTCTGTCCGTCCGTATGAACGCTGAGATCTCGGAAACTATAAAAGCTAGAAGATTGGCATTTTGCATGCAGATTCTAGGAGTTCCTACGCAGCGCAAGTTTTTTTCAAAAAGGTGCCACGCCCTCTTTAACGCCCACAATCGCTTATATACGATTTTAAAAATTTAAATATTTCGGAAAAGTAAAAATGCAGTTTTATTGTGTTTATCAATACCTATCGAAATGTAGAAGAAATTTTTCAAATCGGACCATTCGTTAAAAAGTTATGCGTGATCAAAGTTTCTATCTCTATCTCCCTCGCACTCCCTTTACCTGAGTAACGGGTATCTGATAGTCGCGGCACCCGACTATAGCGTTCTCTCTTGTTTTTGTTTGGATAAAGCGGGTGTTTTTCCGTTCCTGAGCTAAGAAGAATAAAAGTCTTTAGATTTGAATGTGAGGACAAAATAAAAATATTTTTCTTTGTTTTAAATAATTTGATTAGTAATGATTAAATGATGAGTAAACGCTCTTTTCCTGTTATTTTTGATCAAAAATTAAACAGTTATTTTTAATACATGGATATATCTTATTTTATTTATTAAGTTATTAGATTTGAATACTATATATTTAAGTAATATGATATTTTACAATAAGTTGGGTAAATGCTGTAAAAACTGTTTTGCTAATGAAATATAAAATAATATTTTGTCCATAATTTAAAATTTAAATACTTTTTATGCAGTTATTTCTCTTAAAATAAGTAACAAACCAGAACACATTTTATAATTGCTTTCTAACCATTTCTGAAAGCAATGCAGACTCATTATTCGACATAACGGCACCACTTGAATCCTTAGCTCTATAAGAGGTGCTCGTTGTGCGTTGTATGGTTCTGTCTTCATAGCGGGTACGACCCTGTGAAGCCATAGGTCTATTGAGGGTGTTGTTTGCGTTATTTGGTGAACTTGGCGGAGTGCTATGAGCGGTAAAATTTTTACTTATAAAATCCTGCTCTTTCCATCCATTTTTTTTATAAACATCACGTAGTTCGTTATGTTGCCACATAGTGTATAAAACTTGGCTAGCAAATTTTAATACACAAGATGTATATTTTTCTTTTCGTCTTGTTATGTTCATAAGACGATCAATCCCACCTGAATCTAAAAGAGAACGAGAAAATTCCGGATTTTTTTTAATAACTTCATTAATTGTTGCTAATACAGCTGTTATTGTGTCATCTGACGTATTTTGGTCATGTTGTATATTTCCAGATGGAAGTTTCTGAACTAAATCCCGCATTGCATACTTTCCAATAAGTTCTTTGTTGCGTTGATCAATAGCTAAATTGCGCAGTGCTGTGGCAACTGCACAAACTACGCGGTCCACTTCCATTCTAAGAAGTTCTACAAGTATTGGTAGCCCTTTCTCTTTACGCACTGTTGCACGAATATCAATACTAGGTTGCCAATAGCAGGCGGATAAATTTTGAATTGCTCCTGCTGCGGCTTCAAGCGTTTCTGGATTAGAACAACTTTGTAATAATGACAGATAGTATTGAACTACTTCAGGTTGCCATAATTGCTCATATCCCTTATTCAATTGGTTATAAATCATAGAACCTTTTGAATATTCTGTTGAAATGTTGTATTCCTGTAAATGATCGGAATTATGAGTAGCATCTTTTTTTTTTTTACTTGTCCCAAAGCATCCTAAATTTTCCCCTGAAAATAAGAACAAAATAACTATATTAGCTATAATAGTAGAATAAAATATGATAAAACATTTAATATATACGAACATGTTGGAACTTATATCTGTTTTTGCTAAAGCATCCTCCATAAGATCAACTTTAAGCAAGGGAAGGATATCTTATCTTCTATAGTATCAGTTTCTGATTTGACTTGACTATATAAAAAGACATTAATAGCCCAAAACACAACATCAAGTAGTTGAAAATGTACCTCAAAACGCTCAAAAACTAACTTCCCTGCAGGTCCGAAATTCATCACCACAAAAATTCATCGCCCTTTCATCAGCAGCCCACTGCCATGCCGGCACAGCCAAAGGCAAAGTCGGCAGAGCCGAATGCGACGCAGGCAAGGCCGAAACTCCCAGTCGACGATCGTAGGAATTCCCGGCGGACCAAGGCGCGATAGTAAAGCGAAACTATCGCAAAATGTTCGTAAACGGACTTATAAACGATAGAAATACGCAAGCTTTTACTAAAGTCTCGTTAAATGCTCGTAAACGGACTTAGAAAAGAGAGTTTAGTAAACAAAAACCGGGCGACATATTTTTCAGCCTTTTGAGCTCGTTTATTAAATAAACAAAATCGGTAATTAAATTATAATTGAGTTTTTAGTTTAGTGCTGTGACAAAAAAAAAAAACAAAACAAAAAATCACATGTGCATTCTCCGTTTTTCAGCCATATTCTTGGAATTTTGCGGTGGAATTAACTCATCGTGCCGTTTTTTGCAAACAGAAGTGCATACGAATTTAATAATGTCATTGAAAGGGAAGACCAGGAATTTTATATGCGAACCGAAACATATAAAAAAACAGTGCTGCTATGATTAATACTATTTAAGAACATGCGGCAGAGATTTGTTTTCTAGAGGAATTTTGTGATAATGTTTGTGATTGTTCTAATGTTTTAGTTGAGAATTACGAACCAAAAAGTTTTAATACTTGTCTAGGTCAGTGGATGTCTGAAAATAATATCAGCAGAAGGCCAGCTAATGATTTGCTTCAGTTGTTGTCTGATAAAATTTCTGGCTTGCCACGAACCTTTAAATTTTCTTTATTTGTATGCCCTTGCAGAGGGTATTATAATTTCAGTCAAAAGTTTGCAACGCAGTGAAGGAGACATTTCCGACCCTATAAAGTATATATATTCTTGATCAGCATCACTAGGAGAGTCGATCTAGCCATGTCCGTCTGTCCGTCTGTCGGTCCGTCCGTCCGTCTGTCTGTCTGTCTACGCAAACTAGTCCCTCAGTTTTAAAGCTATCTGCTTCAAACTTTCCCGGATCGGGCGACAATATCATATAGCTCCCATAGAAAAAATCGGAAAAAATAATTCAAAAATATAATAATAACTTCGTTTTTAATTATTTTTTGTTCTTTGGGATTTGGTAATATTTAAATATTATTGAATTACGGTTTTAATTAAATTAAAAACATCAGCTTGCGGAAGTTGGCTTCTTTCTTGTTATATTTGATACAATATTAAAAAAAAATATAGTACTGCTTTCACCTTTATAATATCTTTTTCTACTTATATTAATTTCGGCTCGTTAATTATATGAAAATCGCCTCGCTAAAGATATCACCAAAGGCTCGCAACAAACTGAGCGACCAGTGATTCGTTTTTTTATCGTTTTCGGATCCGAGGCGATTGTCGTTTTACGTTAAGTTTCGGGTAACTATCGTTTGCGATATCAACGTTTAAACACAAAAAAATTTTCATCTCCCTCTCTTACTCTGTCTCTCTTCCCATAAGATGAGCTGAGTAATAAAAATTAAAAATGCCTGTTGCACACCCTTGAAATTAAAATAACATCAGTTTTGTTTTTGTAATAAATATTGTAGTCGATACTTATTAATTATATTATTTTTATTGATAAACATTTTAGAATAACATAGGTTATGATCGGTTTGAAATAAATGGATTCATTTATAAGGTAAATTTAAATAATGTAACAGATCGAAGCTGAGATTTTTTGTGAAACTAAATTTATCAGAAATTTAGGCGAGTGTTATTTATTTCATTATTCAAATGTTTAGAATGTGACAATTTAAATAGTTAAACTTGCAAATGATCGCCCCCTTGGAACTTAAAAAAAAATATTTTATCGCAGGGACTGATATACAAATAAACAACAAAGAATTAATTACACACCTTTTTTATATTGACAGAATGTTATAAGGTTGGAAAAAAGGAATTTTATCTGTTTAATATAAATAAAGATTTTGAAAAAATAGCAGCAAATTTTGTTTCTGTTTTTCTATCGCTTAAACTGTACCTACATATACTGTTAATATTTGTATACCCTTGCAGAGGGTATTATAATTTTGGTCAAAAGTGTGCAACGCAGTGAAGGAGACATCTCCGACCCTATAAAGTATATATATTCTTGATCAGGATCGCGTCCTGAGTTGATATAAGCTTTCTGTCCGTCTGTCTGTTTCTACGCGAACTAGTCTCTCATTTTAAAGATATAAAATTGAAACTTTGCACACACTAGACTTCTGCATGAATGTACTCATTTGTAGCATAACAGATCTGTACAGTAGTGTAGTGTTCTTAAAAATAGATTAGATTAGATAGATAGTGATTCATTTTCAGTGTACTCACTTCGAGTGAGTACAGTATATGGTTGTACTCTGCGTGAGAGAGTACTACATTTGTCCCTTTTTAAACACGCTGTACAGCTTGTGTGTTGGGCTGTGTACAACTGTGCAGATGAGTGCAGTATTTTAAATTAACTAAATTCTCAGAATTAGAAAAGGACAAACTTTTAAAGACGTAGAAGATATGATGATTAATATTCATATAAATTGATGACATACAAAAATTAATTATACCTACACAAAACATCGATAATATATTTTCATATTATTCAGAACCCATTCAGAGCACTAACATTTTATCATATATTCAGGATGAACTTCAAACATATAAAAATTTAAATAAAGCGTGTAGTGAAGATTTTGATGTTCTGCAATGGTGGTCAATTAATAAAGACCGTTTTCCTCTGCATTATCAAATTAGCTGCAAGATACTAGCACCTCCAGCGAGCAGTGCAGCATCGGAAAGGGCGTTTTCTTTAGCCGAAAATTTAATTAGCGAAAAACGGTTAATAATTGCCACCACTGAAGACATGGTAAATAAAATAATGTTCATTCATTCCAATATTATTAACTTAAATATAGATTCTTTAATAACATAAAATAACTATTATAATTAGTTTTAATTAAAATATTAATTATTTATAAATTCTTTATTTTATAATAAATAAATACATTTGAAACAAAAATACAAACCAATTTTTTAATCGTATTTATTCTATGACATACATACACACGAGAATTATATATGTGTGTATACGAGTCATGAAATTTCACTCACTGTACAGTAAGTCAACTGCACACCAAAACACTGTACAGTGCGTAGACTACTGCACAACAGCTGTACAACTATGGAATGAGTGAAAACACTGTCAATCATAACAGACAATACTACCCTACTCACTCACACCCACATATACTGGGCAGAAAAAAAAGTGTGTCCACTTCTAGAATATTTGATTCATATGTCGTTTTGGATGCATTCATGCAGAAGTCTTTGCACGTAGTATATATGTTGAAACGGCCGGGATCGGCCGACTATATCCTATAGCCTATAACTTTGGTGTTTGTAAAGTTAGGAAGTTTGGGATTTTCTATGGGTTTTATATTTGGCCAATCAATCCGACCTACCAAATTTCATAAGGATCGGCCGACTATATCCTATAGTCGCCATATAACTGATTAATCGGAAATGCCATAACTTTGGTGTTTGTTGTTGGAATACCCCTATTCCTATACAGAAATTCCATTTTAGTATATATCGCTTTTAGTCTTTAATGAATACTCAGCCTATGGTCACACTGACCGATCTTCTTCCCCTTTCTTGTGACCTTCTTCTTGAGCTAAGTTGTGGTGCTGGTGTTGCGGTAAATTAAAACATTAAAACATTACTCCTGTGTAATTATTGGGTGTATAAAACAATAGGTTATGGGCCCAGTGCATGCCTAAAAGAACAATTGATTTGTGAAACAGTTTATATTAAAAGTCTTATTTCCATTTCTTAGAAATCTCTAGTTCTTGTGAAATTGCTAGTTCTTGTGAAATTACATTGAGTTGAGTTCCGCGTGTGTATACCTACACTTGTACAAGTGCATATGTATGTACAGTAAAATGGATAGGGCAAAACGTAATATAAAGCCATTCGATGGCGAGAAGTACGCAATTTGGAAATTTAGAATTAGGGCTCTATTGACCGAACTGGATGTACTTAGGGTCATTGATGAAGATTAGTATACCTGAGAAAGTGGACGAACAGTGGAAGAAAGCAGAGCGTTGTGCAAAAAGTACGTTAATAGAGTACCTTAGCGATTCGTTTTTGAACTTAGCTACAAGCGATATAACTGCGCGAAAAATTCTTGGAAATTTGGACGCTGTATATGAACGAAAAAGTCTGGCGTCGCAGTTGGCAGTCCGCAAACGCTTGCTTTCTCTTAAGCTATCATGTGAAATGTCCCTATTGTCCCACTTTACTATTTCTGATGAATTAATAAGTGAGTTGTTGGCCGCAGGTGCAAAAATAGAAGAGATGGATAAAGTGTCTCATTTGTTGATTACATTGCCTTCGGCTTACGATGGCGTCATTACAGCAATAGAGACGTTATCAGAGGATAATTTAACATTAGCTTTTGTTAAGAATAGATTGCTAGACCAGGAAATTAAAATTAAAAATTATCATAATGACACTAGCAGGAAAGCTTTAAGCACGATCGTTCAAAATAAAAACTTCAATAATAAAAGCAATTCATTTAAAAATCGTGTAACTAAACAAAAGAAAACATTTAAGGGAAATTTTAAGAATAGGGTTAGATGTCACCACTGTGACAAAGAGGGACACATTAAAAAGGATTGCTACCAATATAAAAGAATTAT